TTTTCAGGTCTAAAAAACAGGCATAAATTTTGTTTGTTTGCTTTAGCTTTTTTTTTTTTTCATTCACTGTATTTTCATGCTGATTGTTGTTGGTGTGTTTTTCAATAATAGTTTTCAATATAAATAGGTTGTCAGTTGTACAACGACCTTTTCTGAAACCAAACTGTTGGTGGGACAAAATGTTATTTTTCTCAATAAAAGTGGTTAGCCTTGTATTAAGGATACTTGTAAATAGTTTGCCAAGGCAACTGGAGATTGCTATTCCCCTGTAGTTTGAGGGATTTAATTTAGATCCTGCTTTATGTATGGGTATTATTAAACTTGTACTCCATGCATGTGGGAAGATATTTGCATTGTAAATAGAGTTAAATATTTTTTAATAGGTTTGATGAGGTAATGTTCACCGCATTTTAGTATCTCATTACAGATTTGGTCTTCTGCAGTTGATTTGTTGTTTTTCAATAATCTGATGGCTTGTTTAATTTCATTATGTGATATTGTTTTCTTAACCGCTGACTATATTAAGAATAATATGAGGTTACTACAAGGATACTCAAAGTATGCACGACGAAAGTACGGTGACAGTATCGACCGACCTGCAGCACAGTATCCTATAATAACCTTATTATTATTTACATCTTTCCCTCCCAGGGATCGATACATCATGGAAATGCCCAAATTCAAAACATTTAGAACAGATTTAGCAAACTTGCTTGTGTGGGGACCGCGGTCAAACCCTAGGGGCAGCCATGATTGTTTTTATTAAAGTAATGCATATACGCATAATAATTATATATTTAGAATTTGTGTTTCCTAATATGGTAGGATGAATATACCCAGTGCAATTACCTCAAAATTACGGCACGCTGTAATGAAATTACAAATTCATTTTTGGCTTAAAGTAATAAAAGAAAAGTAACAAGTGAAAAATAAAATGTTACCAGTGAAATAACATAAGTAAAAACTAATGCAGATTGTGTTTTTCAAAACACATTTTTAAATACAGTGTCACATGTCTAATTATTTTAAAATGGTGGTAATAATAATAGTATTACAGCAAGTCTCAGAAGTATTGGGGCAGCCAATTTGCAAACTCGATAGCGAATTGACTAACTGCTTGAGTTTTGACTAAATGGTTGGCTTTCGAATCACGCTGGCGCCGTCTTGCGGTCACGCCTACTTAAGACAAATCTATGTAACAGTAGCTAGGGACGATCATCATAATTTAGGAGCTAATCAGCGATGGTCTTATAGTTGGATGGCGACTTCGCTTTGAAATATACCAGGGAAAGTATTATATGGTCCACACAAAAACAACGAATGAGGTCGATTTTTTCAGCGATTGGCTAAATGTTACCCCAACGGATCATTTAAGTGTGAAAGTTTGTTATTTCCTCCCTGATTTGTAAGAAACTGTTTCTCAACTTGTCTATTTAGTTTCAAGCAGTGTTCAAGAAGGTTAACCTCCTATAATAAATATCGGTAGATTAATCGCATTTATAATATTATCACGCCAGCTGACTGTGGCCATTTCTTTCGGGCTCAAATCATTCGGGGGATCCAGACATGTACCAGGCTGAGGATGCGTAAAAACATTCTATGTCCCCTAATGCAATATAGACTCGCAAAGAGTGGACGCGGTCACAAAACTGGCGCCAGCGAAATTCGAAAGCCAACCGTTTAGTCAAAACTCGAGCAGTTAGCCAATTTGCTAGCAAGTTTGCAAATTGGCTGCCCCAAAACTTCTGAGACTTGCTGTAATAACCCGCAATAGTATTCCTTTCATCAGAGTAGTAGTTACGATCTGTGATGAAATGGACATCATTTTAAATACGGTCACTCTATATACACAAATCGCTTAAGTTAAATGCAAGCCATTTTTTTTGTTTTTCCTTTCTCAAAAATACTTTTCTTATTTTGAAACCATTTTGTTACCTCTTCCAACCCCCTTGTGATATTCCACCCTTACATGACAGTATTGTGTTGTCACATCACTATCCAATTTTGGCTTTCATAACACGCCTCACGTTTTTACATACACAGAATTTATTATTTCTGTTTAATCACAATTATTTCATTTATTGCGTATGGTTTATTGAGTGAAATATTAATGTTATACACAATTCAATCTTTGAAACAACAGAAATTAACACACAATTAAAGCTAATAAAGGCACTGCAATCTACTAGCAATGTAAACTGATTGCCGAATACATAATTTTAGGTTCAGATTATTTTTACAATGTTTCTAAGTTTCATTTATCATTATTTAGTAAAGAAATTATTATTATATCCGTAATATCTGACAACTCAACTCACATTGAAAAATTCTTATTTTTGCACAAACTTCTGTCTTTCTTTACATCATATGCATGTGATCGCATGCCGGCCTGCAGCATCAATGACATGACATAATATGGCAGCCTTTAATAGTGCATTAATATGGCAGCCTTTAATGTGACCTACCCCATTACTGGAGATAGATTTTATCAACGTCTGTTTCAGCTGTTTACATTGCTTTATAAATCATGACATTTTGTTTAAATATACATGTATATCAATAATAGCGATTATAATAATTACTTTTATTAAACTACTAAAACCACCAGATGGTTCTGTATGATAAATACAAGGAAAGAGCACAAGTTAACCCACAAATTCATTGTTTTTTATGAACTTGATGATTATGTAATTATTAATGAGTGTTTCTTTCAGTTATTAATGGAAAACTTTTCAAAGATTGCATTTTCTTTCCTTCAAATTTATTTTGACAGTACTGTAGTTGATTTTCAACTTTTACTCAGCACATTACTCAGTTATTATTATTACAAAATAATAATGATTTATAAAACAAAGATATATACAACTTGATAAAGTCATGCTAATTGTGAGACATAAAATCAGGCTCACAAAACGAATATTTACACGCAACGTACGTGTGTACAATGTAATTGTACCACTCAGATACCAGCCCCTCCCCAGGGTGTTCTAATGGTACCCCTCATATACCTGCCCCTCCACCACCATGGTGTTCAATTGGTTCCTCTCAGATACCTGCCCCTTCACCACCAGGGTGTTCAAATGGTACCCCTCAGATACCTGGCTCTCCACCACCAGGGTGTTCAAATGGTACCCCTCAGATACCTTCCCCTCTCCCAGGGTGTTCAAATGGTACCCCTCAGATACCTGCCCCTCTGCCACCAGGGTGTTCAAATGGTACCCCTCAGATACCTGCCCTTTCACCACCATGGTGTTCAATTGGTTCCTCTCAGATACCTGCCCCTCCACCACCAGGGTGTTCAATTGGTTCCTCTCAGATACCTGCCCCTTCACCACCAGGGTGTTCAAATGGTACCCCTCAGATACCTGGCTCTCCACCACCAGGGTGTTCAAATGGTACCCCTCAGATACCTTCCCCTCTCCCAGGGTGTTCAAATGGTACCCCTCAGATACCTGCCCCTCTGCCACCAGGGTGTTCAAATGGTACCCCTCAGATACCTGCCCTTCCACCACCATGGTGTTCAATTGGTTCCTCTCAGATACCTGCCCCTTCACCACCAGGGTGTTCAAATGGTACCCCTCAGATACCTGCCCCTCCCCCAGGGTGTTCAAATGGTACCCCTCAGATACCTGCCCCTTCATCACCAGGATGTTCAAATGGTACCCCTCAGATACCTGCCCCTTCACCACCAGGGTGTTCAAATGGTACCCCTCAGATACCTGCCCCTCCCCCAGGGTGTTCAAATGGTACCTCTCAGATACCTGCCCCTTCATCACCAGGATGTTCAAATGGTACCCCTCAGATACCTGCCCCTCCACCATCAGGGTGTTCAAATGGTACCCCTCAGATACCTGCCCCTCCACCATCAGGGTGTTCAAATGGTACCCCTCAGATAGTTGTCCTCTCCAGAAAGTTCAAACGATGCAACTCAGACACCTGTCTCCACCCCTATCCCCCACAAGGGTTCTTATGGTTTAAAATTGCTCAAAACTTTGTAGTCAGAAAGTATTTGAAAGTGTTGTTTTCCTTCAGCGAAAATATAGGTTATAATATTGAAACAAAATTTTTATTTTTATGTTATTTTCATTGTTGTTTTAAGGGGCGACTAGTTCTCAAATGTACTTGTGTCATGTTAAGGTAGCGGGACTATTATTTGCATACTTGTTTTCATCTTCTAATTGTGACTAAATGACTACAAATAGACCTGGGAAAGTATATATTTTTAGAATCGCCAGACTTCAAGCTTTTCACAAGTGTATTTTTGCATGCCCGTATCTGCATTCTACGACGCGTTACTCAATCAAAGGTGAAAAATTACTTTTTCTGTAAAATAAAAAATTACGCATTTATGATGGCGATAAGAAGTATTTTTTTCACTTTTCCTAGTTGTTCAATAGTCTGGTAAATTGAATGTGTCTGGTTAGTTTTATTCAAGCAACGCGTTTTAAAAAATAGTGTCCTGAATTTCAATTACTGTTTAGTCGCATTG